GGGGGGGGAGTGGAGCGGAAGGGGGGTTGGAAGCTAACGTGCGTTTTCCCAACCCCTTCCATCTTCCTTAGCCAATCGTCTGTGGGTAGTAGATGATTGGGCTAATTCGAAAAGGTCGTCGTCGCCTACTGGCTTTCTATAACGTGTGTGCTGCTACCTCCTCTGGTTATACTTCGCACATCTACATTTTGCCCACATTCTACACAGCACAGTCACCCAGTTCAGTTTTAGTCCCATTCTCACCCGATAGAAAAGTCAGCGCATTTTACAGAAAAGTTGATTGAATGATTTGACTGGGATAGATGGATTTCCTTCACAGTGTCACTAATCCCGTTCTCGGTGCAGGAAATCTTGTAAGTTATGAAAAGTACTTAAAAATGGTGACGAATTGTCTAATAAGTAAGAAATTAAATAAGTGAGCTTTGTGACAGTAAGCATTAATTCTCATTTGAACAGCTTATCTTATGAAAGCTCCAATTAATTGCGATTTGAAATCACGCTGCCGCCAATCAAATTAACTAAATGTGAAGCTTCAACTATTCATTTCGTGCCTTTTTAGCTATTCTTCCCAGCTCCAATCGTAAACACATTAGACCCTACTACTACTACGACACAATCCCTCCTACAGTCCGCAAATCCCACTACTATCGGGAAAGTGGGTAGCGCTGAAATGTCCGCCCAGTCCACTAGCACACCTGCGAGCGCTACACCCTCAACAACGACTCCCGTGACGACAATAGATACGACACTGGTGGCGAAGCCGACGACAGCAGTTCAAGATTCAGATGTTGGTACACAACACAATGCGGCCACTTCTCTTCTCCAGTCTATGCGTATTCATGGTCTTCTAGCACATGGGGCTTCCAAGAATTCAGAATTCGCCTCAGGGTGTGAAGCACCGGCAGAAAAGGTAATACATCAATTGGGTTTATTTTACCACCTTATTTTGATGTAATTTTTCTTGTGAATAGAAATAGGAATATTTATCAACCCTGTATAGCAGTTACCAATCGTCGTGTTATCGGCCGATTTGTTCCGAAATCTCTTTTAGTAAACAACTTAAAATCTGGTAACGATAAGACGCCATCTTGTTGCATTTTAACTGAAGATTTACAGGTTCATGAAGGGCTCTAATTTGTATCTTTATTTTAACAAATGTGGTTACTTAATGCTAGTATCACAATTGTATGCTACTTGAAATAATTCTTATATTTTTGAGCTTTTTAATGAATGATTGGGCATTTTGAATTTCCTGAGTAGTTATAAGGATCTCAATGCTCTTTCCCCCAATATTCGACAAACCAATTTTACAAAAGTTCAATGACAATGAAAAATTTTTTTAAAACCTAAAAAAATCTCATTTTTATTTCTTGGGTTACTTTAGTCGATCAAATTAGAGGATACCACAGAGGCTGGTCATCCAATAGATTCGAACTCTGAAAGAATTGACAGTCAACCAACCACAGATGAGGTCAGAAATCCAGCTTCAGTCTCAGCCACAGCCCCACCCTCAAATCCATCCGTAACATCAACAATTTCTGGAAATACTTTAGTATCCTCAAATTCGCTTACGCCAATTGCATCTACTGGTCCCAAACGTCTTCATGTTTCCAATATTCCTTTCCGTTATCGTGAAGCCGACTTACGACAGCTTCTTGGTGTAAGAACTTAATTAGCCCTGATAATTAGTACTCCTATTTTATTGATTATTTTGTAATGGATTACTTATTTCTATTAATAGTCCTTTGGAACTATTCTCGATGTGGAGATTATTTTCAACGAACGTGGATCTAAGGTTAGTTGTTAACCTTTCCATTTAATTTATACTTTTGAATTGAAAGCATACATGGAAAGGTTTTTTTCTGGCAAAATGGAATCTCGAGCATCGTGTTGCAATAGCGAAGCCTGCTGCACGCGTTCATCTCTCCATCTCTTTTCCACAATTTTGTATTTACTACTAATTTGTATAATCTTAGAGATATATCTATGCTATCACATCGGTACTACTTCGGATTTTAGTCCAAACAGTTCGCGGGCATTCAGGAGTAATCCAGACGGTACATTCCATTCCTTTATGGACAGTACACGTTTGTGTCTAATTTCTGTCCCTTTCCCCCTATTATTGTGCCTCTTTTCGGTAATTGGGTTCACTTTCCCTGTCAGAGCTATATTTTTGCATCTGCCTACTTCCAACCAACCAACCAATCACTGTTGGAATGTTCGTGTGTGTGTGCGTGCGTGATTGTTTTCTCCTTCTATTCAATTAGAAAGTACTTTTCTCCTTCTCTCCCACCAATCATGCTTCTGTTTTGAAAATTATTGTGCATTTTCCTACATTTTGCTTTTCACGTGCTGTCATTCACGACTTATTCTTGCCCGTTTAGCTCTATAGAGCAAACACCCATTTACACCCAAGCCTATGAAATAGGTTCTGGGATGTCCTTCGAGTAAATTCCTGATTCGCATGTATAACTAGTATCTAATTGTCCTCACTTCACAGTAGTCTCTAGTGTTTCATTATTCACCTGATTAGAAAAGCGAGTTGAAAGTCGGAATTAGCGTATAGGTTTTCCTATACATTCACCAAACACGACAAGCACATTATAAATGGTTGTTTAGGTCGCACGGCTCTTTTTGCTCGTCCCTCTATGTAATTTCGTTTGGTAATGATTGTTTGAAGGCCTTTATATTTCTTACCTACACTCTTCATCCCCAACAAAATTGCCAAGATAAAACGCATGGTCTTTTACATCAACCAGCGCATGTACACACCCACTTATATAAATGCTACTGAAATCTTGTTAGTAGCTGTTTTAAATGCGATGCTCTCATTGATGGGATGCAATGTTGCATGTAACAAAAAAGTTCGTGGAGGCGAAACACTTAAAAATCTGCAACTAAGCATGGTTCGCGATACAACGCCTCGATTAAATGCACTTGCTGATTTGTTATGTTTTGAGTTATTATTTATATTAACTAAGTCAAAGAGGAACTTTTATGGTATTGATTTGCATGCTTAAATGTATGAGGTGAATCGACTGAGAAATTTAAGTTAAGTTGGTAAAAAACGCTAGGTATGTATTCATTTACGCAGCTTGAAGCAAACACATTGGCGAACGTTGTAATGCCACACATGTGTTGTGTTTATATTGTTTATACTTGAAGTGTAGTAATGCTTATTGTTCGTATTCGTTTCATTAGGGATTCGGATTTGTGACCTTCGCAACACCTGAAGAGGCCGACAAAGCTAGAGAAAGTCTCAATGGAACGATTGTTGAGGGCAGGAAAATTGAGGTAAGAAGTTGTTTCATCTAGGCACCTTTTCCATTACTAAAAGCATGTTCTACCTTGAGTTGATTTAAGCATTTATTTAGATGCTTCAATCGTACTTTCTTAAAGCTAATAGGCAAAATGATATACACTGCCTGCATGCTATTGCAAAATTAAATCGGACTGGATTATTGAGGAACCTAATCTTTGACATTTTCAGCCCCTGTCACACACGCCAGGTAATTAAAGTGAACTCTCGATATGAGATCAAAACAATGTGTCCGATGTGCTTGTGAAAAGCTCCATTAGACCTATCTGATCATTGATTGGCTCTTATGCTGTTTTTCCGCCCGTTTATCAGTGCACCCACAAAATGAGTTAATATATATATATATATGCGTTATATGTGTGGGTGCATGTGGAAATTGAATTGCGTGAAAATCTTGTGCTGCTTCCTCTCTCCTTCTCCCTCCACATTTCTGCAAATTGTGAGAAGAAACGAAATACCTTGCCAAATCTGTGTAGTTCATTGCAATCTCATCTGCTCGTAATTATTAGAGCTAGGTAGTGACGACGCATGAGTACTCTATGGTGTCAAGAGACTTCGGGAGGTTTATGTAAATCCTTGCTTCTCGTATGTAATGCCTGTGGCTACCATTATTTCCGACTTCTCTCGGTTGCACGATAGTGCAAAGTTTTTTTTCTACTTTCTTGGGAGAGCTCTCTATACAAAGCGTCATTTGTAAGCTACTTAGTCATATTCTGCATTATGAGTTTTATTATTTTTTTGTTTCAATATCGAAATCTACAAATCAATTAACCCGCACGCATGTTTTGTGGAAAGCGGTCCAAACGTACGAGAACGAAACAATCATGTAACATGGCTTTTTACGTACCTCGAGACTTGCCTGAGTTTTGATTTGTAAAATTAATTTAGTCTTTACCTCTCTGGATGCGGTGATGATACATTTTTTCTCTTTTGTCAATTGTTCTCCTCGCTTGAAATAAGATGCCGTGCTAACCCCTGTGCCTATGCCGCACTCACAAAGATGTTGATATTGATTGCATCCTTAGCAAGATTTGAGACATTTCATCCATCTGTAAACAATCTCCCATACCCGTAGTTCAGTTACTGTCCAACTGGCATTAGCAGCATGTCGTTAGAGAGAACTAAGAGTCAATCAGTCAGTGTGTGTGTGTGTGTCTCAATCCTATTAGCGCCCCCGTCTAATCAATGATTAATTGCGAATGTGCACTGTCGTATATCTCTGTTTATTTGTTACTACTGTTCAATTGTGCAATCATGTATCCCTCATTTCTTGCATGCGTGCCTGATTTAACGATAATTATCTCATTCCCACAGATCAACAATGCCACTGCCCGTGTGATGACCAAAAAGAAGTCGGAAGCTCCCACGCTAATGAAAAGTGAGTTTATTGGATTAATGATACTTGTATTGTTGAAAAAAACGATGGTTGCCACCAGTGTAAATGTGGACTTTGCTTTATTTAGCAGCCACCACTTTAAGAGGCATTCGAAATGCTCTCCCACCAACAGTAACCAATGCAGCAGCCTTAGCAGCCGCAATTCGGGGTTGTTCAACACTGGGCGGTTTGGGAACAACTGGACTGGTTGCTGCAGGTAACAACGTCTCCGCGGCAATGTCACAAGGCACGAACCAGGCTCTTTTAGCAGCCGCCACGGCAACATATAACCCATCTGCTCTCTATCTGGCGTCAGCTGATCCAACTGCGGCCCTCTTGGCCCAATACGCTGCTGCCATTAATGCTGCGGCAGCAGCCGGAACTATGCCAATGGCAATGCAAGCTCCGTCCCAATCTGCGGCTCACTTTCTTGCCGCTAGTTTTGTAAGTTTTGACCGGATGGCAATTCTATTGCACATACTACAAATTGGGGTTTCAAATTCGTAGCAATTGTGAATGGTACACTCGACTTTGCTCTCGTTTGATCTGGGCTGCATTTTTCACACTTTTTTTGTGCCTACCTGTCCCTCAAGCTATGTTGGATGTCGGTGAATGAGGTATCTTTCTCTTTTCGTTTAACGGGACCATATTGTTTTTTATCAAATGGCAGGCGTCTTGATGGTTAGCATTAGCCTTTTAGTTGACTTCAGGCTTCACAGAGAGGAAGGTACATCATACTAAAAAAAAGTTGAGAGGGGGGGGGAACAGAAGAGTGTTTCAAAGATGTAAAAGAGACAGACACAAAGGTAGAAAAAAAGGTGAGGTGAGTACTGAGGAAGTAGTCGAATATGACATATAGTGAGGTGATGGTAGTTTGAAGTGAGAAGTCAACTGCCTGTTAATAGACTTTTGCCGTTTGATTTTGCGTTGGCCAGGGTGTACCGCGTGGAGGTAAGTCTATCGCACACCCCGGAACCATATTGTATGAATTAGTTAAGTCACATAACTAAAATTTCTGGGTTGCCATCTCAGTTTATTGATAATAATTTTGATTAAATACATTCTCATAATCACCTTTCCCTTACCATAACATCGATTTTATTCATCGACATTTTCGCTTAGCATCCCATTGATCTCGGTATTTTAACTGCATATCACTAAAAGTGAAGTCGAATAGTACCAAGACCATTGTATGCTATAACTCTGAGGGACTTAGATTTGCCTAGTAGTTATCAAGAGTGTTTGATTAATGTGTTCCTTGTGTGTTTTTTAGCCATGGTATGGTGCGACCTCGGACTTAGAATTACAGCAACGTATTCAACAGCAGCAGCAAGTTCAAGCCCAACAACAAGCACAGGCAGCTCAGCAATCAGCTGCTGCATTGGCGGCTGCAAATCTAGCAGCAGTTGGTCTTGGCGGTGCTCAAGGTGCCTCCGGGAATCCCGGCGCAGTGACCCCGACTGCGAACCCCTTCGCCGCGGCAATGCTTCGGGCTTTTGGGGGCAATAGTGCAGCTGGTGCAACGATTCCACAGGCTACCTCAACTCAACAACAGCAACAATCTGCAGTTGCCAGTGCTAACGCGGCGGGTGCTACAGCTTCTTCGCCAATAACTAGCGTTGCTGGATCGAATTCTACTGCGGCCGCCGTAGGAACTTCCAACAATCAGGCTGCTATGGCAGCTCTCGCCGCTGCTGCGAACCAACAGTATGTTTGAAGCGTAAATTAGAATAAGTTGGNCGATGTATTCTGCACATGTTGTATAAACATATGATTTTATTGTAATAACTTCTCACATAACGTCGCCCCCCCCCCTCCTCAACCCTTCTCCTCAATTTCACTCCTCGGATCACTCATTAACCTCAAAAGTCTTATTTAATGTACTATTATATCAATTAAATGCAAAAAAAAGAAAAAATTCACCTTGCCAATGGTCAATATGGTCGTTATTTTCCCTGAGAAACTGTAGTAGTCGTGGTCTAAGTAAAACGGATAAAAGAGGATGAAAGAGACCACAAGAGCATTGAATATAAAAAAGGATGGACGACGAAGCATCGATGTGGGCGCAAGGACAAAAGAAGGCAGCCGTCTTGTCGTGGTGGTTATGTTCGTCTGAAGGAGGGTGGGTCGAGATTCTGGACGGGAAAATCTCGAGTTCTACTTTCACAACCCGTCCCCATATTGGTGTTCGAATGGACGAGTGCTTCCTTACTGAGGTAGCTACGTAGCCAGCTCTGTGGGTTACGGAGATTAGAATTTGGACAAGTTGAGTAAATATTTTAATCAAATTTTCATAACATGCAATTTAGGATTTTGCAAGAAAGACCCACACCCACTTTAATCTGTGGTGTCAGGTGTGTTTGCTAGGATTAGTCTTAGCTTGAAGATTGCAATGTCCGGCAAATAGCCTAAACTTACAGTTGCCGTATAATTTTAGATACATCTTCAAAACGGGAGTATTCTGAAGTGCTATTGAGCTAGATTTGAATCTTTCCTTTCTATAATCATGCCAAAATAAACCTATGAATGAGTTTGGAATTTCAACTGTATGTTTCCGTTGCTTGATTATCGTCGATGAGTGAGAATAGACAATAGGTGAATTCAAACCAAATGAAACCTTAAGTAAAATCAAGTTAGTGTATAAAATTTTGCCCAGTTAAACAACAGAATACCAATGAAGATGCTGGTTTGCGTCTTCGTTAAAGTTCGCAAAATTGCAGTCTTTATTTTGCTCTATTTAATGATAAAGACCACTTTTATAGCGGATTGCTACTTTATTAAAGCCTGACTGACTCAGAAATCTCTATGGCAGATTCTCCTACATCTAGCTAGACTCCCAGAACCACCTAAGCTATAGCCCATCTATAAAGGAAACAGACGTGTAGCACGGAGCACGTTTATTCAGGACGTATATTGCGGATTAAGTGTACACGTAGGGGGCCTAATCATGATCAGGATGGCTGATTAGGTTAAACAGAGGTTAATGATTGGTTACGGGGTGTGCGATAGACTTACCTCCACGTGGTGCACCCTGGGCAACGTATTCTCATACGGCAAAAAAGTCAATTAACCGGCAGCTTACTTCTGACTTCAAACTACCATCACCCCACTGTATGTCATATTACACAGCTTCACAGTACTCATCTCACCTTTCCTCTGCCTTTGTGTCTGTCTGTCTCCTCTACATCTACGAATCACTCTTCTGCTCCCCCTCCCGAATTGTTCTCACTTTGATTTCCTCCCTCTGCGAAGCCCAAAGTCAGCTAAATGGATAATGATAAATATTCAAAACGCCTGCCATTTGAAATAATAATAATAATAATTGGTCACTGTTTGTACGGTCGCTGCACACAGAGTTGTACGGCCGCACCTCCCAATCCTGGCGAGCAGACATGCAGGCTTACGATGACGCACAGAGCTATAACGTGTCCCACACTTTTAAGGTATTTACATGTCTTTATTGGATTCTGAGATTTGTGGCTAGTTTGGGAGATTTCCTAGTTCGTAGTAAGTGGCAACCGCAAAATGTTTACAATGGCAAAATGTTTACCATCTTTGACGATTGGGCGACGCCAAAACTATGTTTTCGTTTTCTCTAATCGATCTGAGAGCTTATCCGTAGAAAAAAGATCTTCATGTAAAATTCTGGGGTCAATATATCTCCTTTTGCCCCAGGGGGGGGGGGAGGGGGGAAGCACTGTCACTGACTATAATACTTCTATTAAACATTTCTGTCTACACTTGTTCCACCATCGCGTATGGTGTTTTCTGCAGAAGTTCATGCTGAGACACCCAGTGATTATAGAAGCTTGCACTCATAAGCTTTAGTCAGTATAACCACATTCGTACCAAAACCATGCTTTTTACTATCCTAAGCGATTGACACTGGTAGATGATGAATGCAGAGAATTGAGGAAATTCACCGAATACTACAAAATAACGAAAGTCATTGAAGAAGCGGTAAAAGAAAGCGGTAAAAAACTAATTATTGTGACCAAGTTTTAAAAAACTGCTTTAGATAGCTAATGCCGATCAGCACAAATGTAGGTGCCTACACTTTCCGCCAGCCAACACGCAAAACAGGCATAACTGCCGTCTTACATAGGAGACAATAATGTATAAAGCCTATTTTTTAATCAATAAACTGGCTTTTGGGCTGCCCGTGAACTGTTCTAGCTTTATGATAGATTTTTTTAATAGTTTAAAGCCCTTCGGACCTAACGGTCCTCCTTCAAAATTAGTTCCGATGATAATAAACTCGTAAGAGAAAGTGTCATCGTCGTTTGAAACATGTTCAATACGTCTCTAGCATTCGCCTAATACCCCCAAAACTCATCATCCCGGCGGCACCAGTCTGCTGTAAGACACGCGTGAGGGCAGTTGGGCATATCTTTCAAAAAATAATGCAGTTACATAATTCAGCCATTTCATAATTCCAAGATAACTTTGAACTGCAAAACAAGCTTATTGAGGTGATATTTCGACGTTTAGCTGCAAAAATACTAAAAACCAAGAAGAATGAAATTGATAATCGTATTCATGTAGCTAGTCAATTTGTTATCAATTATTAGCGCAATAATTCACACTTGAGTGAAGGAAAAACTAAGATAGATTTATTGATTTTTCCTCTTTAAAACTTCCCTTTTAACTGTAGTATTATTATAGGGTAATACTAACGAATTCAAAATGTGTTTTTCTCGTGAATGATGTTTAGCAGAAAAAGCTTTTCAATTCAGATATTATTTGGAAGTTAAGCTGCTCAGTTGGAGCATATAACGAATTGAATTCAAGACAATCGAGCTCTCCAAAAAGAAGGCTTTAACTAATAAATGGATATCAAATTTCAAATTCAAATAGTTTTGACTAAGGATGGTTTGATTTTAAAGTTGGCAAATATTTAGATTCAAATAGAAAAACACTTTGAATAACAGAAATGATTGAATATATTATATTATCAAACATTAAAGTCGCTTTTTATTATTAAATGGTCTGGTTATGCATATTGATTCGGAATTTGTATAAATATTGTGAAAAAATTTATGTTAATGTGAAAATTAGTTCAATGAAAGAGATAATGTAGCATTAAATAATGGTTATGTTTATTTTTAAGGATGTCGTGATGCCTTAGGGTCGTGAATGCAGTTGTACCATACATTTTCCTGTAAAAATATGCCTAACACATGCTAAAATTTTACTTTAATTACAGTTATTACATGGCTAAAAGGTTTTGATAATATTTATATATTGTAAGAATGATATGATAACTTAGAAGGGAACAACCCGTAAAGGAGTGATTATGATCAAACATAGAAAGATTAAATCAATAATTATAATTAATTTTACATTTGTACAACTATATCTGATTAAAATATCAAAATTAATGTTTAACGCTGAAGGTTACAATTAAATATCTTTACCTCATATATCAATTTATTATTACAAATATATGTTGCACAGGCACAATTTATAACGCCTATTCAGTATAAATAATTAATTTTCTAAAATTTTTTTCGCGAGACTTACTATGAAAATATATCGAGTTCTTAATAATGATTGCATTTCAGTGGATTGCCTATGAGATCCATATTTTAAATTTTTGTGCATGCTGTTATCATGGGTTCGAAGAAGAAGCACGCAGGGAGGGAGTCTGCTGATGGAGATAGTGCTAATATTGTGAGTGTCCCGACAAAGGTTCAAGACGATCGGTTTAGTGTTTTGCTAAAGGTATGATTATTTGATCAGTGGTTGTTAACGTTGTCTAGAATGTTATGTCTATGAATTCAAATGGATGTTGTTTTGCTCAAGAAGTTGAAGGGTGTTCACCTAATCAAAGAGCCATTCAAAAATATATTGAGTACGTTTCTGTTCTGTAAGTCATACAGATTTTAGTTTCGGTGTCATCAACTTGGATAAGCCCTCAAATCCATCATCTCACGAAGTTGTCGCTTGGGTGAAGAACATTCTCCAAGTAGAAAAAACCGGCCACAGTGGAACTCTTGATCCAAAAGTTTCTGGTTGTTTAATCGTCTGTATCGAAAAGGCAACTCGTCTTGTTAAATCACAACAAAATGCGGGGAAAGGATACGTTTCTATTTTGCGCCTGCACGGACATGCTAAGTTGGAAGACCTCAAAAGAGTTTGTGAAGAATTGGAGGGCTCACTTTACCAACGTCCACCATTAATTTCTGCCGTTAAAAGAAACTTGCGTATTCGTGGCATCAAAGATCTCGATATCCTTGAGTTTGATGAGAATAGGGGACTTGCTATTTTGGAAGTAAATTGCCAAGCAGGAACCTACATTCGTACTCTCTGTGTCCATGCCGGATTATTGCTTGGTGTTGGTGGTGTAATGGAAGAATTGAGAAGAATAAGGTCTGGTGTTCTGACCGAATGTGACAACATGGTTACCATGCACGACGTTCTTGATGCTTACTGGATGTACGTTAATCAAGGAGATGAGAGGTATTTGCGAAAGATTATCATGCCTCTGGAAAATATTCTCGTCAATCACAAGCGTATCATTGTTAAGGATTCTGCTGTTGCTGCTCTTTGTTTCGGAGCTGCGTTGTGCAAAACTGGCATCATCTACTTCGATAATGACATTCAACAGGGCGAAGAGATTGTTCTTGTATCATCTAAGGGTGAAGCAATTGCTCTCGGTAAGAGGTCTTGTTTTCTTGTTTGATCTGAAGCTATTTTGTAGCTACTGCAAGGTGTAATACCGAGGGAATCGCTATTTCCACCTATGGTTTTGTTGCAAAACTCAAGAGGGTAATAATGGAGAGGGACCACTATAGAAGACAGTGGGTTGAAACGAGAAAGAAGAGAAAAGAAAGAGAAGCTGGTGGACTTTCGACACCGGGTGCTGTAAAACAAGAAACTAAACTCGCTTTGAATACGGATGCCGAGGAGATGCAAACGGAAAAGCCTCCGGACACCTCTGGGTAAGTGTCACCCTTTTGGCTCTCATTTGTTTTACATGTTCTTTGATTTTGCCTACGGTCCTTGTTTTTTTCTTTATTTTAGTCGTCCTAAGAAACGCCCCCGTAGTAGCGAAGACTAAGTCGTTCATCTTTTATTACTAAACATAAGTCATTTCGCCTCTCCCATAATTGTATATAATTTAAAATATAAAATATACCGCTACTGCCCACTTTTTAAATTAATGTCTTTTACTGTGCTGGAAGCTAACATGAATTGTCATCACGACGTTTTAAGAGAACTCTCTTTTAAAAATTTGATTCCAATGTTGGTCATTTGGCTGCTTAGTGAAATGTCATTATTATCAACTATATAAAAGTCTGATTCATGAACCTCAGATAATCTTGTAGAAATAATCTCAGCTTATATGGAGCAAAGTATTGTCGTAACTTTTGAATGATAAGTGTTATGGGCTACTCAAAATAATTCAAATTATTAAAAATGGGGTATTTGTGCTAGTTGATGTGAATCTACTCCCTACTTCATTTGATACCTTGAATCTTCCCTTTTTTGGCGATGGTCACCGAGGTTTGGATTGCCCTGCTATTGGTCTTCAAACTTGCCTTCCACTTCTAAACAGCATTAGATTGGTTGACGAACTTAAACGCGGAGTCGCTTATTTCTAACACCGGAACTTATATTGTTAGCTTGCTCTCAATTAACCTTGTGAACTAGCACCTTTGTATACTTTTATTTCTTCAATTTGTTAAGTGTCTATGGTTTTCTATTTCGGTCTTCTCTCCCTCGTGTCACTGGATGTGCTATTGGAAAGATGATTGGATTGACGTGACTGTATTTTCATTCTCATTTAAATGAACAAACGTGAAGATTCATGGAGCTTCTGATTTGTCCTTTTTACTAGGATCATCAGTTGTATTCAAACTTAATTAAAGCATTGACGTTTGGACGAAATACATTTAGTAACGCCTGCCATTTGAAATAATCATAATTTAGTAACGAGTATAAATGCAGCCATTTGTTCGGACAGTAAAGTCAAGTAGGAAGTTGGGAGTTTATAGTGTGTCTTTTTCTAGAAAAGTGCCCTATCTTGCTGAGAACCGCCAATCCGGTCTGCGATAACGGCCTAAGTATAGTAGTTTATTCGAGTAAAAGTACGATATTCAAGTAATCGGAGAGGGAAAATGGCTCACTTGCCCAAAGTATAGCCCGACTCGTGTATCCTTGGTTGCTTATTTGAACTCCTAGATAATATCTGCAGAACTCTAGGTGCTGTTTAACTCTCTGTACCTGTAACCTATAAAGGGCAAAGTAACTTGGCATTTAAATAATACAACAGTTCTGATTGGCTAGTGAGATCATATGTATGGATCATTCTATTTACTCTTGTTGGTATCCATAATATTCGTTCACAAGTAGTTTTCTTCCGGTTAATCTATTTTCTTGCATTCTATAATTAATCTATTTCAAGCTTTTACTCATGCCTTCGTTTATTTCAGACTAATGAGTCTGCATTAAAAGAATAAGCCACCGAACCTGGTAAAACAGTTTATGCAACTGGCTCATGACTACTACCACTTCTGTTTATTTTTTCCTCTTCGTTTTCTATTGGAGTTTAACCAAGACCTCTGTTCCTTACTCCCCTTAAATTCTAAATAACAAAAGTCTAAAGTATAGTTTTATTATTGTCGCTTTATTCTGCGGTTTCGCCATAGTAAGTACTAACTTCTATTTGGTGCTAATTACACTATTGAATTTAGTGGTCAGAGTTCACATCTTTAATGCCAGTGTGATTAAACCACACTAATCAAGCGATCATTAATAGAAGAGCGTAAATAAGTCTTATCATTCTTTCCAAACTTGAGTAGTCATCCAATCATCGAAAAAAAATGATCCTCCTGATGACAAACACCGCACTTAGCAACTTTTCCCGAAATGAAAGCTCAAGAGTTACGTAGAACCGCATATATATTCGACAAGAGGGCTAAATGAAAGGAGGGGATTTGAAAAAGCACAAGTATTGAGGGATTGGAGAATGCTTTCTGTGGAAGGACCATGTTAAGGTATACTAAGAGGAGCTGGCGTTTTCGTGTTCTTCGTTCCTTGAAATTCAAATTACTAAGATTATTCATATGGCAATTTAGACAAGTCATGTGTATGAATCGAGATGTGCGTGATAATATGCATTAGATAATAGAATACCAAACGAGCTACTACTTTAAGGTTTGGAAACAGGCTAAACTAGTGGCTTCGCCAACCAACAGGGACACAAATATCGCCTTATGGACCAACATGGGAGTTTGTCAGACCAATGAAAGCTAAGACATGCTAAACAATCATTCATGGCTTACCACCACGTGGTGCACCCTGGGCAACGTGTACTCTTACGGCAAAAAGTCATATTCTACCCCTACCACAGTATTCATTTCACCTTTTCTCTGCCTTTGTGTCCGTCCGTTTCTCTTCCATCTGTGAATTACTCTTCCGTTCCCCCTCTCGACTTTATGTGATTTTGCTGTTCCCCTCCTCCGTGAAGCCCGAAGTCAGCTAAATGGCTAATGATAG